GGAAATTTGGGAGAAGGGCAAAGAGGGATGGGGGGAATTTGGGGAAGGATGGGGGGGATTTGGGAGGGATGCAGGGATTTGGGGAGGCAGCAAGGGATCCCTGATGCTCGAGTGGGGCACTGTGGGAAGGGGGAATTTAACAGATTTTGTGGGATTTGGGGAGGGATGGGGACAGGGACGTGGACCTGCATGGCCGATGAAACCCCCTCCTCCTCCAGCCCCCGAAGCCGCCAACGCCTCCGTTGGCCCCCACGATCCCAAACCCCAGCGACCCGGGAGGGATCCAAGGATGGGCAGGGGGATGTGAGGTCCCTCGGCGGGGATGGGAGGGGGCTTCCCCCCATTCAGACCCTGGAGGGATAAATGCAGTTGTGCATTAGCCGGGTGCAAAGCGTCCTCCTGGAAGGGCTCGGGAGCCGCTTCTCCGGTTCCTAAAGCAATTTGGGAGGGGAACGGGAGGGGAAATGGGAAGCTGCAGCCCACGGGAGGGAAACGCTAAGGCTGGGGGGGCTCTCTATGGGGTTCAGAGCTGGGATGGTGCCTGGAATTGGGGGGGGAGGAGCTCGGATCCCCTACTGTGTCCTGACCGGGGCAAGCCTGGGACTGATCCGAGCATCCCTGGAGCTGAGCAGGGCATCCCTGGGACGGGGAAAAGCATCCCAGGACCCAGCAGGGCAGTGCCAGGACCAGGAAAAGCATCCCTGGGACTGGGAAAAGCATCCCTGGGCCTGGAAAAACCATCCCGGGACCCAGCAGGGCAGCTCCGGGGCCAGGAAAAGCATCCCTGGGATTGGGAAAAGCATCCTTGGGACCCGGAAAAGAATCTCCTAGAGCAAATCCGGCAGCCCCGGTACCAAGCTGGTGCAGCTTCGGGGCTGAACCAAGCATTCCCAGTCCCTGTGGATGACCAACGCATCCCAGGACTGAGCCAAACATCCCGGGAACCCGGCAGAGCATTGCTGGGGCCGGGTGGAGCATCCCCAGGGGTGGGAAAAGCATCCTTAGAACCGAACCCAGCATTCCCAGTACCCAGCAGGGTATCCCTGGGATTCAGCAGGGCAGCCCCAAGACTGGGAAAAGCATCTCTGGGACTGGGAAAAGCATTCCCGAGGACCAGGTAAAGCATCTCCAGGACTGAGCTGAGCAGCCCCGGTATCCAGTGGGGGATCCCAGGGACTGGGTAGAGCATCCCTGGGATGGGGAAAGCATCCCCAGGGCAGAGCCGAGCATCCCTGGTACCCAACGGGGCAGCCCCAGGACTTGGAAAACCATCCCTGGGTCTGGGAAAAGCATCCCTGGAATTGGGAAAAACATCCCTGGGACTGGGAAAAACATCCCCAGGACCGGGAAAAGCATCCCCAGGACCGGATAGCAAACCCCCAGACTGAGCTGAGCATTCCCAGCACCCAGCAGTGCAGCCCCGGGACCAAGCCGAGCAGTCCCAGGACCAACTAGGGCAGCCCCAGGACTGGGAAAAACATCCCTGGGACTGGGAAAAACACCTCCAGGATTGGGAAAAGCCTCCCCGGGATCGGAGAGCGAAGCCCCGGCCCACGCCGAGCAGCTCCCGGTACCCAGCGGGGCATCCCCGGGACCGAGCCGAGAAGCTCTGGGACCAACTGGGGCAGCCCCGGGACCGGGAAAAGCATCCCCAGGACAAACCCGAACATCCCTGGTACCGGAGTAGCCCCGGGACCGAGCTGAGCAGCTCTGGGACAACCAGGGCAGCCCCAGGACTGGGAAAAGCATCCCTGGGACTGGGAAAAACACCTCCGGGATTGGGAAAAGCCTCCCCGGGATCGGAGAGCGAAGCCCCGGCCCACGCCGAGCAGCTCCCGGTACCCAGCGG